TATCCCCGAGATGGGGAGGGAGTTGCCGCTCACTTCATTTGAACATGGCATAGGACGCGCTATCCGTGGGATATTTCCGTTCAAGACAACTGTCATCCTGGGTTGTGCAGCACAGCAACATGGCCACAATCGTCTTGAAGACACAGTATCCCACCAAAAAGTGTAGCCGTCGCCACGTTCAAATCGAGTATGCAGTCATCCCTCCCCATCTTCGATATGGGGTGTAGCTTTCGATAAGTTCTCCACGGGAGACCACACTGGCCAAATTTACCGATGCTCGACCGGTAATGGGTAAAGTGGCGCTCCTCCTGTTCACTCTGTTATAGAGGTAGAGGCTGACTAATGAGGGAAGCATAATAGTTGCGAGTCTTCGCCCATTTCCTGGTCAATCCAGCCATCGCGTAAAGAATCTTGAAGCGACCCGGAAATGCTGCTAAGTTATTGGGCGTTTATAGGACGAATATATAGGATGGGGAAATTTAGAGATATAAGGGAGCTGAAGAAGGAGATGAGCTAGCAGTTTCAGGAAGGAAATTGGCAAAATGTTCGCTTGACTGTTCCAGCTGTGCAGAAAAGCGTCCGCGCACAGCAAGTCCAAGGAATGCTGCAATTCCCCGTTTGCCGAAATTTGTATGATCATCTTACTAGTAACGTTTCCAAATCGCTCTCTGAAGTTTATATGGACCCAAATAGCTGCTCAAGATGAGGTCTCTCCAATGTGAGTTTGCCATTTCATGGGACGTTGCGAACCGAATATCGTTGAAATTGCGTTGGTTGAGCAAAAAGTCCTGCGCCACAAGCAGCAGACTGTGGGTAGTGATTCTTTACTCATCGCCTTGAGTCAGTGGTGTAACCCTTATTCTAGACATGGCAGTCAGATGGTTACTGTTCCCTTTCCTTAGTGGATTTTGCTTGAGAAAATTCATAAAAAGAGGCCACATGTCAAGAAGCGTCATTTCGAAGAGAAGTTGCACTTCCTTCGAAAGTAGAGTTCTCTTACCCTTCACATCCCTGAGACGCGGTGGGCGTGGCTGCGTACTTTTCCTGTACATGGCATAGTATAAGTCATTCGAGGACTATTTCAATTTGAGACTTACTTTCAATTGAAGAACTCAGCCACGCCTACCGCATCTAGGAGAGTTGAGCTTATATTCATTTGGATAACCCAGGAGACCAACC